GCTAGCAGTGCAAAACAGCTGATTGCTCCAATGTGAGCTCACTGTACAAACAGTATAGCTTTGGCTAGGCAAAAGCATGTTAATATATCAATATGAAAATAGTTGACCTCTACCTCAGTGGACCTTTTTTATTCTCCGAATGTGGTAGTGTTTTATTCTTTATTAGACTTAAAGGCCTCCTGGGATTGCCATTAAGTAAACTGTTCATAATAATTGAGTACTTTTATCTTTGAAAAAACAGTTGAATTAGATTCAGTTTGTGTTTGTTACATACCTTAATTTGTTTTGGTACATTTTCTTCACTATCATTTAACGCAGAACCACACCATTTTCCCCCTACACTAGCAAGACAGTGCCGTCTAGCAGCTAAAGCTCAGGATTAGGACTCACTGCAGTATTTCACAACCACCAGCTTTAAGAACTATTCAGTCATGTCAAGAATATCATCCTGTTTGTAGCCTTAAGTACAAGGACTGGTCTAAGGGCAGGAGGATTGGGCTGGGCACAGAGGCTGCAAGAAATGTCCAGTATTGCAGAAAGCAGGACACTTTTTATGTTGGCCTTGTCACCAAAGCCATTTTCTGACTGGACTGGCCTTACCCTCCTCCTGCACACAAAATACAGATCATGAGTTTTACACTCTTTGTCAGATATCCTGAAAGTCAAAAGCTTAACAGATTAAAAAGTCTCCTATGGCAGGTAGATATTGTTGCCTGAGTCATAAGCAAAGAAAGAATTCTCAGCTTACAATAAATTTTCTTTATGTTGGTGTTTTACTGTTCTACACTAAATTTTCTTTATGTTAGTGCTTTACTGTTTTCCTTTCTTATGAATACCAGGCACTGTAATGAATCTCACTACATCAGGTTTGTGTGCTTCAGCTTCCCAGGCATGTGAAGGCTCCAGAACTGGCCCTTGGTTATACTGCTCAGGCACAGATTTTGTGTTCTATTCCTTTGTGAGATTCATGGGCCAGGTGACAAAGAAAGTGGAACAAGGCTAAACTGCCAAAGGCAGATTTTTACTCTGTTAGGAATTTTTTTTTACAGTTTCTATCTTCAGGGAGAGGTGATAACTGAACACAATAGTTTTGTGATAGAGGCTATAAAATAATTACTTTGTACATTCAACAGTACCAGAAGTATGCAGATCTAGATAAAGCCATTAAAAGTCTCTGTAGAAAGCTGCTTCTAGATAGAAGCTAACTCCTTGGGTGGCTTCACATGAACCAAAAAACCCATCAGGTTTTATGATCTTGCTTGGAGGTGTGTTAGCCTTTATGTTCAAGATAGAGTTAGAAAAAGAACAGGCATCTCTTTAAAAAACAGACTTTATAGTCCAAAATAGATCAAACAAATCCATGAGCTCCATATAAACAAATTCTTCCAAACTGTCACAGCAATCATTTTATAATCTAGTCATTTGCTCTGAAGTTGGATGTAAGCAATGGGGAATTCATAGCTGAAACCAATATGAAACCAACTCCATGCTCTCAACAGCAGGAGCAATCATATTTAGCCTAATAATGTATGTCATATTTGTTTCTTCTGTGTATTGGTGTTACATTCATACACAAAAAGCTATTTTAAATATCCTTTGTGTGACAATCTGTTGTTCTCTCTGGTACAAAACTGATTTTATAGGACACACTATTTGTGGGTGCCTAGAAGACAACAAAAAGTCTTGTAAAAGACAACAGGAGTTTGTCAAGAGTAAGTCATGACAGACCAATGTGATTCCTTCTGTGACAGGCTAACAGGTCTTCGCAGGCACAGCTGTATTTGCAAGTGCTGTGAGAAATGGTACTTGAAAGATGCAGGTGAAGTAAAAAGTTCAAAATAAAGCAGCAAAAAATTATCTGGAAATGATGACCTGAAAGGAAAATGCTAAAAGAATTAGAACTAATTAGCCTAAGGAGAGCAAAGAAAGACAACATTCTCCAAATTTTGATAAAGGCTGTAGAAAAATAAGGGAATAATCTGTCCCCAGGCCAGGGAAGCCTAGTTCATATGCCTGTATTTGTCAGAAAAAAGCAACCCCACTGGCAGCTTGGTTACGGGGTGCTATGGGCTGGAGGGACACCATCTCAAGCTTCAGTTTCATTTTCAGGGAGGTTGATACCTGCTGATGGCTAGTGGCCCACCCATGGAGTCTGTGCTGGATAATTAGATATCTGACGGTCCTGACAGGCAGAGAAATTGTCAAGGAAAATGAGGGACTTGCCACTTTTCACTGAATTTTAGAAATCCAGCATGGAAAACTTGGCCATTAAATGTATGAACCTGCCAGCATAAAACTGTACTCTACAGTATAGTATATAGCAAACCCTACTGTTACCTGGTGTTTACACTGGCTACAAGAAAACTTACTTTTCTGTTTGGGCTAGAACTCAAGGAAGTCCATTTCTTTACTCTGGCTGTGAAAAGACCTTTTTTTCCATATGAGTCAACAGAAGTTTGTGTTATTTTGTTCTATGTGTAAATACTTTTAAAACTTCTAATTGTGTATGGAGCTGGCTTAATTGACACCCATAAATTGTTACAGAAGCTGAGCTTTCTAAGGTTATTTCCTCACCTTGTTGTCTTGGGTAACCGTTACAGCTCTTTGCACTGACAATGGGTAAATGCAAAGCACTTGCACAGAATTTTAGGGATTACCTGCATATAAGACTCTGAAATACAAATAGCTTACAAAGGACACACAAATATCATATCTTTTACATTGCCTAAAAACCACAGTAACAGAAGCAGAGTTGTACATTCGTGGAATTGAATGTAAGGCATTCATGGAAATACAGGTGTGTCTATGGGGAGGATACGTTATTCGTCATGTTCTCATGTTCCAATTTGGTAGAAATCCGAATTTCCATTACAACAGTCATTTTCAGGACTGTGATTGTGTTGTCACAGGGACACACAGCAAGCCTCACCCAGCCCTCCTCTTTCACTAACAGATTTATTCTCCACTGAATCGATATGTCTCAGGTTCTTCCTCTCTTGCTTGGAGGAAAGGAGGTCCTTCCCTGGGGGTAGGACCTATTCCAGAGAACCATGTGTTTGGGAGAGGAGCCACACTGTGAAGTCTATATTGTAAATTAATATTCCCCATGAAGGCTCCATAACTGTCTCAGCTGCTTCCTTAGGGTAAGGAGCTGAATCACTAAGGTCAAGTTAAGGCTCCTCAACTCAGTGTTCTCACAAAATAACTAGATTATAACCATCTGAGGCTGGAAGTTTTTCTCTTCCTCCATTTCCTAAGCTGAATTTGTTAAAGTTTGGAAGTGAGTGTTTTGTCTAGTGGTAAAACACAGTGTTGGAGTCAGGAGTTGAGATTTAGTTTGGGAACAGTAACAAGGCTCAGGACAGCTTTTGTCCATTCAAGAACAGATGGGCTGGATTATGTTTTGACGTATTATAAGATCCAAGACCAAGAAGATGTTTTGCAATTAATTGAAGTTCAGCACTGCTAAATTGTAACAAAAGGAAGATGAATAGTAAGATCTAGCTATGAATTCCACTGTTAGGTTTGATAGGGAAATGTATATTAACAAAGATGCAAGATAATGCAAAGCTATATAAAACACATAGCCAGTCAATTTTGCTGTACAAAATCACCAATGGCCAACCCCATCTGCAGGGTGAAATTAATGCTAATCAGTTGCAGGCTTGTACTGCAGATGAACTCAAACAAAAATCAGCTTCTATGCAGTCTACCCAAGTATAGCCCAAAGCTAACATTACAGTTTTGTGCATATTTATGTTATTGAAAATTTATGTCCCAAACTGTCAAACTCAAGTAGATTTGTAACAAATTTACATACATACTTAACCCCTTTTAAAAAGTGATTTTGGAAACCTTAAGGAATCAAATCTGTTGCTCAGTTTTTAGAGGTATGTAAGTTTAGGTCTTGATTAAAAAATACCCACCTCTTATGATTTTAGGGGTTTTTTTACATGTATATGCAAATCAGACACATGTACTGGACAAGGAGTCAATTGTCTGGGGAAGTGTAGTTCTGGAAAAATAATAGATATTGGATTTCTAACAAAGTAATAAAGCTTGGACTCCTCTGACATTTGCTACATTTTTATTATAGACAGTGAAATTTCTATCCATTAGCACTGAGGGGGAATGAATAATTTTTTTAAAAAAGGTGAGGTGGGGGAAGGAAAAACAGAGATCCAGAAAAACATGAAACATCTACAGCTTCTCGTTTATGAAGTTAGAGTTAACAACACACATTTTGTTACATTTCATTCATGCTTTGTAGTTCAGAAGAGCTAATAACTGAAAAGGATAAATCCTTAACTGTATCCTTAAGAAACTGTAAATCCTTAACAAAGGATTTACAAAAGCAAAGAACCTCAGCAGACTCTCTCTAGTTAATTGCTGAAGGAGAGTAAAATATTGTTTCTTATTACCCTGCCAAGTTTACATTTGCATGCTTTATTTTCTTGGACCAAGTCACTGAGGTTTAGTAATAACAAAGATTTTGTTTAACAAAAATAACACTTCTTGGACGATAGAAGGGCAAGGGAAAGAAGGGAACGAAAGGAGATGTTAAGATACCAGTGGAATAGACACCGAAGTGGCTTTGAATGTTTGGAAAGAAGAATGGCTTCATTGCATGGTGACGGTCTTGCATGACCGTAATGTAATTTCTCTATCCTATGCTACATTGCCCCGGAGACAGGGAACTTGTTATAGGCGGG